ACTGTACAGGCACCTGGTTTTCACCTCAGAGACTAGAGTAAGGAGGATACAGGTGGAATCTCATGTCCTTTCACACTGGCTACATCCACCACCCTGAACACAGAGGCTCAAGCTAGGAATAGACAATGCCACCTACTGGAAGAAAGGAAAACAGAGTTCTGAGAGACTTTTTTTTTCTTGCTATCTTTTCTTCTCTCTCTGTCACAACCTCAACATATGTGAAAACAAGAACTGTGCATGAAATAAGACTTTAACAACTGAATCACCAAAATAATATAATATAGAGGAATTGCATATGCCCCACCTCCCCCGCCCTTTTTTTCTTTTGAGACAGGGTTTTGCTAAATTGCTTAGGGCTCACAAATTGCTGAGGCCACTTTGAATTTGTGATTCTACTGCCTCAGTCTCCTGAGCCAGTGAGATTACTGGTGTGCACTATATAGTATATCCATAGTATTACACTTAAATTTCATAAAATAAATAAAAATGTAAGTAAATGAAAATAAACTTTTCAATGAAAAATTTGAGATTTTCTGTATCTTATGTTTCAATAAAAAGGAAAATTGCTGAACACTTTTGGAAAAACAAAAATGATTCAACAATAAATGTAGTCAAATTCCACCTAAATTATAGAGAAGGTAGATCACATAGGCAAACTAACAAGTTAGTTTAAGGGCAAAGACATGTTAAAAATAAAAGGCTTAATTTTCTCTTGCAAATAAGAGGCTTTCTTCCACTTAGAGTGTTTTCTAGCATTTTCAAATGTATGGAAATCTTTTTATTCAGCTTCAAAATGCAGGAATATTTTTTCAAGGATTAGAGAGTCATCTCTTCGAAATGTAGTAGTTAACAATTAGATTTCCTCAGTTTCCAGATGGAGATGGTCTAACTTCAGCTGTCACCTGACCCCTAGTTTTGAGATCAGCTTAATGTGGCTACATAAAAGACAAATTTCTTTGCCTTTGCAAGCTGTTTATAAGATTGCCTGCGGCGATTAGTGTTTAATGCTGGCTCAATGTTTATTCAAAAATAAAGTTCTTTCTCTTCATTGGGAGAGTTTTGTTTTTTTTTGTTACATTTCTCCAATTTTAACTGGAACATATTTTAAAGACATAAAACATCAGTACAATTTCCATCAACAGGAAGCCTCTATCCTTACTTGATTTCATAGGTTTTTTGCACAGCAAGTCATAAGGACAGCAATAGATGGTGAAGGTGGGAGAATCTGCCACAACAAGGTATACCACTTGGCATAGGGATTATTTTGAGAGGAAGGCAATTAAAGCCACAGGTGCAAGAAGTGCTCTCTGGTGACTCCTTTCTATCCTGGAAGGAGTCAGGCCAGCATGGACAGGAAGTTGAGGCCAGAGAGAACTCTTGAAGATCTTGTTAAGGTAATTCCTAATTATTTTAAAAATGTGATGCTTTAGTCTTCTTCCACAGTTTTGTTGCTTTTCCAAGATTAACCTTGTTACTTTCAATTCCTTATGACTGCGCTCTTGTCACATAAAACTTACATTAAAGAAACTTGTATGCTTTTCTCCTGTTTCTTCTGTTTCTCAGACCTAGCTACTAAGCCCTTCCCTGGGTAGAAGCAAAATTTTACCACCCTTGAAAATAAACTTTAGTTAACACAGCTTCTAAAAATTCTACCAAAAGCCAAGTATATATTTTAGTTTTGAGGGGCCACTTCAGTGCCTATCATTGCTGGGTATCATTAACACTTCTATTTCACAAATCATATTTATACTAGATTGAAAAGTGGGTTAAACACATGGAATAGAAAAGGATGTGAATATTTATGCAACGTCCAAATGTCTAACATCAGATTTAGACATTTACGACTGTGCATAAAACTACATTAAATAAACGTTTTTCTCCTATTAATGCCGTCCCAGATAGTTTTCAGTAAAAAAAAATTAAAGCTGAACAATGGGGTAGAGAAACCAAACTTTAGTTTTAACCTTAGATCCAGACACACTTTAAACTCTTTGCTGACCACTAAGTTGAGCTGAAACGTGTTGTGTGCAATGGTGACCTGCAAAAGGATGGCAGAATTTGGTGTCCTCCTAATAAGGGCTGGGTAGCCTGCCGAGGCCTTAGCTGTATAGCTTCAATTGTGCAGCGCAACACCGCGCCGAACCTTAACTTTCTGACATCTCTCCTTCAGCCAGTGTTCAGTTCCTTCTGAGAAGCAGTAAGTGGCTCTGAAAAGAGCCTTTGGTTTGGATTCGGTTTGTAGCAAGCCAATACAGGGCGTTACTTGCCCTTGGCCTTGTGGTGGCTCTCGGTCTTCTTGGGCAGCAGCACGGCCTGGATGTTGGGCAGGACACCGCCCTGCGCGATGGTGACTTTGCCCAGCAGCTTGTTGAGCTCCTCATCGTTGCGGATGGCCAGCTGCAGGTGGCGCGGGATGATACGCGTCTTCTTGTTGTCGCGGGCCGCGTTGCCAGCCAGCTCCAGGATCTCGGCCGTCAGGTACTCGAGCACCGCCGCCAGGTAGACGGGCGCGCCGGCCCCGACCCGCTCGGCATAGTTGCCCTTGCGCAGAAGGCGGTGGACTCTGCCCACGGGGAACTGCAGGCCCGCCCGGGAAGAGCGCGTCTTGGCCTTGGCGCGAGCCTTGCCACCCTGCTTGCCGCGTCCAGACATAGCGTTAGTTCGTCGATCTCACCACAAACTACCGTAAACGAAAGTGCACTTGCTTCATCTTTTATAGTTATTAACAGGCAAGAAGAATTAGACTTGTCATTGGCCGAAATTGTAACTTCGTTTCAACCAATAGAAAAGCGACTTTGGAATTTACGCATTCTGATTGGATAAAGCTACCTTCTGACATTCATCTGAACAACCACCAATGAGAAACAGGCTTTAACTCCACCTTATTTGCGTATGAGGTTCTATATAAAGCCGCACCGTGCCTCTAGCTTTGCTTTGCAGCTTCTGCTCTTCGACGATGCCTGAGCCAGCGAAGTCCGCTCCTGCCCCGAAGAAGGGCTCCAAGAAGGCGGTGACCAAGGCGCAGAAGAAGGACGGCAAGAAGCGCAAGCGCAGCCGCAAGGAGAGCTACTCGGTGTACGTGTACAAGGTGCTCAAGCAGGTGCACCCCGACACCGGCATCTCGTCCAAGGCCATGGGCATCATGAACTCGTTCGTGAACGACATCTTCGAGCGCATCGCGGGCGAGGCCTCGCGCCTGGCGCACTACAACAAGCGCTCGACCATCACGTCCCGGGAGATCCAGACGGCGGTGCGCCTGCTGCTGCCCGGGGAGCTGGCCAAGCACGCCGTGTCGGAGGGCACCAAGGCGGTCACCAAGTACACCAGCGCCAAGTAACCGGGGAATTAGTTGCAAGTTCAAACCTAACGGCTCTTTTAAGAGCCACCCACATTTCTTAGAGAGCTGCTGCTTGTCTATCATTTTGGTGTACTAACGGGTCTGGCTAATCGTGAGGTAAGTACCGGTTTAGTGTCCACGTTCTAATTGGACGTAAGGGCCACTGCTCTACGGTACAAGGGCGCCGCCTAGGTGGGATGGGTCTCGGCTGGCTTGCAGATACTGCGCGGGATTTTTAAAATTTCCCGCGCTAGCGGCGCTTTTGCCTTTACATTCTGATTGGTTGCCGAGATATGGGACCCGCGCGCACGCGCGCGCAGCTCGCAGACTAGGTTAGTCCTGCTTTTTAGTTTGCAAGTTTCCTAAATTCTTTCAGGACGTCACGGAGTCTGGAAGATCAATTCTAACGGATTACCTCCCTTAGTGCAGTCAGGAAAGCTGCAGAGGGGCAAAAAAAGGAAACGGGTTTGCAGGCCTCACTTGACCCAATCACCCCCAAATATTTTAAACCACGTTGTATATAAGCCATGGGGAGCTTTCCTTGTGACTAGTTTTGGTTTAAAAGTAGTAGCCAGTTTCAAGTTACTGTTTTATCTAAGCGAATAAATTTTTAATGATGAATGCACAAAATAGTCTTGAAAATTACTCGATGATTAAGATGTCTTATTCTAAGCCATGATTTTTGGAGGACTTTTCCTGATAACTACTGGATGATAAGCAAACCTATTTAGGTTACATTTCTTTTTGCACATTAGGCTACTCTTTCTGCACGTGAAAGTGGAGTGGAAATTTTGAATTTTAATTTTAAAATGAGGATTCCTGTGGAACTTGTTTCATGTGTTATTGATGGTTTCCTTGGTTGTTGGCAAGTGCATCTGAGCTTGCTTATTGTGGAAACTACTGTACACGTGCCCTGGGAAACCAGAGGGCATGTCTGCATCCCTTGTTACCTGCACATTATCAGATCTATGTAACTGATCCCCACCATACACCTTAATCACTGAGGAGAGCCCACAACGCTGCATTCCTGCCCCACAGTTTCCTATTCTAACAATCTCCCTTTCCCTGTTTCCTAATTCAGAATAGTGAACTGTCAGGTGCCTTTAGTATTTTGCCTATTAATACAGGAAATAAATTATTTTTTATTTATATGGAGTTAAGATTTGTAGATTGTTTCAATTACAAATTTACAGACATTGAGAATACTTTTAACTTTAATCTGAATAAAAGTGAATTTACAGGATTCTGTTTTTTTTCCTTTTTAGAAAACACCTACCCCCCCTCCCACCCCAAGCGTTTGTCATAGAACAATCTAAAGGCAATGATAGAAACAATCTAAAAGCAATGATCTATGATCAGTGAGAATTTCCACCACCCATATCAATCTTCCATTATGGTTTGGTATGAGGTGTCCTCTGCAGGGATGTTCAGAGGTGAGGTAAGTGGGTGGTGAGCTGTAACCCAAGCAGACCACCCTAGCTTGCATGGACTGGGTGGTAACTAGGAGGGCAGGTATGGCTGGAAGGAGATGGGTCACTAGGGACATGTCCTGCCTCTTCCTTGTGACCAGTATATGCTGCCTCCTCTTGGGCCCAGAGCAACGGAGTGAGCCATCCATGGACAGAGACCTCTGAAACCATGAGCTCAAGTAAACTTTTCCTTTTAAAAGTTATTCTTGTTGGTTATTTTGGTCACAGTAATGAAAAGCTAATTAATACAAGCTCTCAATTCCTTTTTGAAAGAGCAAAGGTGGCTGCTTGGAGGTTTGGGTAGGTGTTATGGATTAGAGATATTTAAGAAGAGGAACCAGATACCATGTGTGGACCTTGGGGGGATCCACACTCAGACAAAATCATTTTAAAAAAATATTTGAGGCAAATAGAGATTTTTTTAAGGACTAGGTATTGGGTAATGTTACAAGTAATTTTTAAGTTTTCTAAAGTGAGATGATAGTTTTTCTTTACATTCATGTCTATGAGGTTGTTTATGAAAATATTCATGATTGAAATGGCATTTGGGATTTCTTTACACTGCCTCCCAGTCTGTGTGGGTTCGATAATGAAAGAACAAGGACAACAGGCTGGCAATTGAGGTGTATGTGTTCTGCACTTGGAAGTACAGTATTCTCTCTGCTTTTGCATAACCTGTACTTCAGTTTTTCCATAGCACCCCGGCTGAACCCCCTAAAAGTTGCCGCAGTCTAGCTGCAGCAGAATAACTGGGGGGTGAGGAATAACTTCTGTAGATTGATACAGCAGGAGTAGGAGCCGTTTATTGTAGGACAACAGAAATGTTAAGGTCTGTAAACAAGTCAAAATAACACCTGGTATTTTGCCAGGGGAATGTTAGAGTTCCTAAACAAGTCTGGGTGGTGCCTGGCAAAATGCCAGAGGGAGTGGTTTGAGAAATAACAAAAGCGAGCCATTAAGTGTGGAGATTCCTTATTGGTTGACTTATGTATCTAGTTTATGCTAATTAAGATAAGCTGTGCAAAATGTATAAGTAGCTCTGTTGTCCTACAATAAACCGCGCCCATTCCTGCTGTATCAACGTACACAAGTTATTCGTCACCCCCCCCCCTTATTTTGCTGCAGCCGGACTGCGGCAAAAAGTAATAAAAAAAATGTTGCCCAATCAATGAACATATTTCTGTTTTGGTTTACAATAGAGCCACACTGAAAGGAACCAAGCATGGGTGCAGAGAAATTCCAGCCAATGAACTAAGGGAACCACAGAAAGAGAACTGGAATCAGTTGTCAGCAAGGGGAGGAGCTGGCCCACTGACCCTTGTCCATCCTGAAGTCATTAAGGAACATGTCGCCATCTTGTGGCCCTTTAGGGTAATGCAGCTGAATGTTTTTATGGTTTCCATGGGTCGTTTCATTAGCTGCGGGTAATAATGGCATATATGAAGAGCACAGTTAATTCCCTTCCCAATGTCCGCAAATGCTCACTTCCCCATCTACCTGACAAAGATGCCCTCCTTGGTCCCACTCTGGTCAGGCTCTTCTCAGCCCTTCTGACTAGCTCCCCCACCGGCCTTACTCATGTAATTCCTGACGGCTCAAGGCTGCGTCCTAGGAACAGCCCCTGTCTGAGAAATCCCAACCCAGGCTGCCTTTACTCTTTGTCCCCATCAGCTTCTGAATTCAGGGCTCCTGGGAGCCTAGGTAGGAAGTGCGAGGACCAGTTAGCAAACAGATGGGCTTCCCTGGACTCACTGCCGTGCGCTGGACATTCCTTTCCTCCTGTTAAAGGCCCCCAGGGCCTCTGCACACGTCAGAAGGCCTGGCTCCTTCCCTGGGGTAGTCAGAGTCACACCAGTTCACTGCCCTCTGCTTTTCGATATTCTACGTTTATTCGTTTATTATTAGTTATTTATTAGTTTCCTGTGCTCCCATCTGAAAGTCCTTGTACAGAAAGAAACGCAAATGTGGACTCTGTCCACCCTTTGATGCAGTTGGCTGGTGGCCTCGTGTTCCTTGCACCATTCTGCACGTTGCTTTCCTCACCCCTCGCTTGGAGCCCCTCCTGTGCGCTGGCCTGGAGCCCCTCCTGTGCGCTGGAGCACTGTCCTGGAGCCCCTCCTGTGCGCTGGCACTGGCCTGGATCCCCTCCTGTGAGCTGGTGCACTGACCTGGAGCCCCTCCTGTGCGCTGGCGCCTTGGCCTGGAGCCCCTCCTGTGAGCTGGTGCACTGTCCTGGAGCCCCTCCTGTGAGCTGGTGCACTGGCCTGGAGCCCCTCCTGTGAGCTGTAGCCCTGGCCTGGAGCCCCTCCTGTGAGCTGGTGCACTGACCTGGAGCCCCTCCTG